GCTGTTACCATCTTTGCTTTGAATTTGCCATAACTGTTAAGAGACATATTTATCGGTTTGTTTAATAACCACAACTAACAGATCATATTATAGAGTGGCTTTATGACTGATATGAAAAGACTCAGAAGGCAATGTACCTGATGTTTCATGTAGTGCTGCATGTACACATGACCACTTTTCAGAACTTTGAGACAGAACGGACAGAGCAGGTCTTTGGCGTTTTCATGGACGCTTCGGAAATGTGTCTCCACATCGGAGAAGAAAGAGGACCTGTAATTGCAGACCTGTGGAAACAGTAAGAGACAATCTAAGTACTGGTGAGAGACTTTTCTGGAAACATTTGACAAAGCTATGACTCAGTACGTGACGGACCTGGCACATGTAGGGCATTTCCCCGGGCTTGTGGTTGTCCTTCATGTGTTCCAGGAGAACCTGCTCTGATTCAAACGCCAGCTCACAAATCTTGCAATTGGCTTAAAAAAAGAAAAGAAAATTAGAAAGACCACTCAGTGTTAGATCACAGTAACGTCTCGGATTAGGCTGTGAAGTGAGTGATGTCATACTTGAGGATTCAATGGAACTGTGTGCGGCCTCGATGTGGCACTGCAGCTGGAATGGAGTCCCGTATTTCCGGTAGCAATGCTGGCAGGTTGTGTGGCTTTCCCAGCTCTCACTGTTCTGCTTCTCCAGCTCCAGGTGGTGCTTCATATGGTTCATGAACCTGCAAGAGAGGGTAGACACATAAACACAAACAAACACCAACACAGACAAAACAGAAATATCACTTTCAGGACATCGATATCAAACTGAAATCACACACAGACATTATAAGGATTATCAGGAATATTTAGGGCTTGGATCCCTTCCTCACGTTAAGAGATATGTTGCAAAGGTATTACAAAAAGTGTAAACAACGGGATCACGTCAAATAAGGCTAAAAAATGTACTCTATTTATCAAATTTTGAACAATATCCATTAAGAATTCAGTGTACAGATTGTCAATGTGGACAAAAATCACCAGAGGTTATGTTCTAAAATGTTTGATTCGTCCAACAATATAGCAACACAACACTTTAATGGACTGAGTTTGAGTGTACAGGAGACCAAGAAAATTATCAGAAAATTATATTCACGCTTAACTGTTGATTTCTGCCATTATTGCCAGACAAAACTTCTTTTTTTCAGATTTTTTAATTATCAAACATTTGCATCTATTTTCAATGAATTAACTGATCGATAAGCTTTTCATTTTTTTGCAGTTCTACTGACTAGTCCATCCTTTGTTTTTAGACTGGGGGTCTGATTAAACAATCAGTTTACAAAGTGTGCCATTAGACTCCATGACACATGGACACAGCTTTTCTTTTCATAAAATGAAAATGAGCATCTATGGTAATCTTTCCCAAGTATTCCAAAAGCTTTTATAAACTAAAAGTAAACAAAATATTTTTATCAGCATTCATCAAGGTAACTGATATTTCAAGAAAATAATGAAAACAACAAAACACAACAACATCAAACCCCAAAGTGTAGCTGTGGGTTCAGCGTCTACATATACGTGTTTTTTTACGTGCATGCCTCCTCACAGAGCGTACATGCTCTGGACACCGTGTGTCACGGAGCTCTGAGGCTCATCACTCCTTCTCTCATTCATTACGCTTTAGTGTATGCAGGTGTTGGATGGACTTTTTTTTGACCGTATGCAGACTTAACCACTGACGTACTCTAATCTACAAGTCTATTTTAGAGTCTGCTTCTTTCATACCTTCAGACCGACATCAGTCAGACTAACACAGGGACTTAAAATCTTCCACCCCAGGACCTTTTCTTACCATCTGGTTTAAAGGTCAGAACTAAACTCGGGAAAAAGGATTTAAAGTTTGCTGCTCCTTTTTACTTGGAACGAGTTACAAAAAGAGCTGAAACTTGACGAGCTCTCATTGGATGATTTTAAGACGATGTTAAAGGACTTGGGGCCAGATTTACTAAAGGTTTGCGTGTCTTAAAACGTGTGCAAATTTGATACCACCAGCAAAAAAAGTGCTATCTGATCTACTAACGGCGCTCAGTGAGGATTGCGTCTTTCAAATGAGCAAAACAACACGCATTGACCATTTAGTACGTTTGCAATACGGGGCGTTTCTGCCCTAAAGTGCAAAATACTGGGAGGAGAAAATGCAAAGAAGTTAAGTTAGTACACGCATTGTGATTTACCAAACCTGACAAAAATTGCGGTGATTATGGCGGTATCTGTATTTAACACCTTTGAAAGGAATGTGCTAATCAAGGAGACCAGCGTTACGCACAACAGGCTGCTGTTATTGAAGTTAGGAGGAGACATAGGCACAACAAAAGAAGGCATAAAGATCGTGTTTTTCCCCACAAGTGTTTACATGTTTCCAATGACAGACAAATAAGGCATGCATTTATTTTTTAATTTGATTCAATATTCTAATCGTTAAGTAAGAGAAACACCATGATTAAACTACAGGCTATTGTTGCCATATATCCAAACAAAACTGAACATTCACAGCCTCTGCATTCTATAGAATTTCAACATTGACATTTATGTCTTCCTATTTCCCTCTTTTGCCAACATAACATTTTGAACTGGGGATTTCCTTTTTCTCGGGTCGCGCGTCTCTCCCCCAGCTCGCCCCCTCCGGTGCGCTCCTCTCCATAATGCGCTCGTCACCTCCCTCTAAAGATCGCTGCTGCTACTCTGTAGGACGCTTGGATTGGGGTACCTCACCACTGTTTGTAACCCCGTCTTCGATACCTCTTTCCAGGGCATTTATATCCGATCAGACACAGCGCTGGCCAGCTGTCTGGTGCGCAACAACGGCCCGAGTGTAGAGCGCCCGTACCACAGAGGAGACAGCTCGCACCTCCTGCGCAATGTATGACAATTCATTCTTAAGATGAAGGGAAGAAAAGAGAGGCCCGGTTTAATGCCGAGGTTTTCTTATAACCAAAATTTTCTTTATAATATTCAGATTTACCTGCTATAACTCAAAAGTATTGTGCGTTTATTTGCCTCTTCCACTGATACCTATTTTGCGCTTGCAGTCATCCTGCTTTCTGTCCAAATTCTCCATGATGTAAACCAGTAGAACACGCAAAAACCTAACTTAAATACTACGGCCTCCACAAGGTTTGCACCTGGTGTCATTCACGCAAATTTTCTTAGAAGATCACCCGCAAATCGCCCACCAACCAAACGTGCAAACTTTTGGAGTGAACACGCAATTTAGTACTCTTTAATTGGGAGCTTAGTAAATCTGGCCCTTGGAGGCGGACACATCTGGCTGTGGATGCTCTCCCTGATGAGTTTGTGGATGATCTTGATAAAAAAAAAATCTGTTCCTATTTGTTAGTCGTGTCTTTTAAAGTCTAATAATGTGTTTTTTGGGATATGTATGTTTGGCTGCTCGTTGTTTGTGTGAAACTCTAGCACTCTGTTTGTGCTGCTGCCTGTCTTGGCCAGAGGAAACTATTGAGTGAAAGAGATTTTTAATCTTAACAAGTTTTCTTGCTTGGTTCAATAAAGATTAAATACATTTTTTAAATAAACAAGATACTAAGCAGTAATTCAAGGAACTCTTCCGTATAAAAGTAAAAAGAGGCACTAAAACAAACAAAGGTAAAGCTGTGGGTAAAAAAATCACATCTATGGCCTCTGTGTAGGTGCAGTGGATGGGGTCATGGTCCCGAGGGTTTAAGGATAAATGAAGTGCTCTCTTTGCACTTACTTCCTAAGCATCTATAATGTCATTATAATATCGACAATTACAAAAAGATTTTGGTTTAGTCTAATGATGTAGTGCCCTGCAGCTCTAACAAGCGACCCCACAGCTTCCTGCTATTGCTGCCCCGATGAAGGATGGGCCATTTTTCAGCGTGCTGGTTTTGCTGCCTCAGCTCCCCTAATAGAAATCTTCACATGGATGAACCATGACCTCCACTGTGAGAGCGCGGTTGCAGTACAAATGTGTTTCCCCATTAAAAGCAGCTTACTGAAGCTTTTTTTGCAAAGTCCTGAAGCAGAGTTATTTAATCAAAGGAACAGTTCTTACGCCAAATAAACTGGCCCTCATATTTCATCTGCAGACCCATGAGGAAAAGCATCTGATACTGTCATCCATCTGAGAAGAAAACTGCAGTGAGGACAGCCATGTTGCTTTATTGTTACTAGACAGACATCTTTTCAACAAGCTCTTCAAGTCCCAGTCTACATTCTGAGGGCAGATTATTTGAGACTCTCTTGGATTATTTACTTTATTTACTAAACAGACTATATGTCGAGTGTATGTGTGTGCAATATAAGTGTAAGCCACGCACACAATTTATTCATTCATTTTTTTTAGTAATTGCAGATCTTTTCTGTTAAAAACAATAAAAAGGGTAAATAAAGTCATACTCACTACCTGTGTATTGCAAGACGTCCTCTTTTGGTGGAAAACAAATTTCCCAATTATATTCACAGTGTACGTAAATTAAATTGTATTGAGTTTCCTTTAAAGGTTTTTTATTGCATCTATCGTCACCATAGATTAGGAAAGGGTATCTGTCACCTGATATTAATTTATTATTTCAACTTCATACAGTAGCTGAATACAAAGCTATTCTGTCCTACATGCCTTACATTCAGTATTTCATATTACCCCCACATATTTCAAATGTTATGTGAATAGAAACAATTAGCACACATAATTATCATGTGTCACTGATTTAGCTCAGTTTGTAGAGCAGGTGACTTAAGTACAGAGGCTGCTGTCCTCAATGCACTAAACGCTGGTGCGACTCCTGTCCTCCCCCCAGTTTGACTCCATCAGAGTTTGAGTCAAACCGTTTATTTCCGTTTAATCTGCTGTAGGCTAGGACTGCAACTCACATTTTCCTTATAACTGTTCTTTATTAACATGTGTTAATAAAAAAACAGTCCTATATCCAAGTCCTGTTTTTTTTATCTAACAAACAATCTAGCATCCAAATATATTCCATTTACAAATGTATAAAACAAAGAAAACAGCAAATCCTCACATTGGAGAAGCTGGATTTAATAACTTTAACCAGCAGACAGGCACTGGGATTTGAGATGGAATGTAGTTAACACCAAAGGTGAAAGGGAAGCAGAGCTTAAGTGCCAACAATCAGAGTTGCACAGTCCACTTGTTGTATTTTAGATGTTCTAATGATATATGTTATGTTGCATGGAAAATAAAAATCAATAAAGATGAAAAAAATATATGAGAGCCAGACAGCACATAGTCCTACCTGATATTGTTCTTAAGAACTTTCAAGCAGCTCTGGCACTTGAACGTGTTGTTGGACCTAGTTGTCGTATCCTTCTTGTTCCTGTCCCCCTCGAAGCGGCCGTAATAGAAATCTGAGACGAGCATGATGCGCTTGTTGGAACTATTGTCTGTAGCTGTGCTGTGAACATTTGCACAGCTGCCCTGAAAGAACTGAGAGTTTGATATGAATTAATGTTTGAGTTGTTTATCTGAAGATGAGTCACAATGAATGTTACTAAAAATGTATCAGTGCCCAAATGACTGTAAGTGGTATATTTTCTGTACACACACATCTTCCACATTTTTAAGTTCATGCCCCTCACTGACATGATTTCCACTCACCGTCATGTGATTTCTCAGTGCCTCAAGTGTGAGAAAATCCTCTTCACACTTGGGGCACTTTTTCTTATCGACCCCATTTTCCACTGGGACCGCAGCGTTTGTCGGCCCTAAAGAAAGCAGGTTCGATGTGATGATTAAATATGGAGCGCATAAGCAGACACGCATAAATACATTTGACCTATCTCCATTTTCCTATAATAACGAGTATATTTCGGTTGTTTTCTCAAAATCTTGCTTTAATGTTTTTCATAATCTTGGGATATGCTGATAATGGGTACCGGTAAACCTCAGCTGACTTCTCTGGAAATGAAGTTGTTATCACAGGAAAACAAGCCATGTTATCCCAATATAACGAGATAAGCAAGTCAAGATTTTGAGGGAAAAAACGTTATTAACTTGTAAAGGGGAAAATGGAGGAACAAAATGTGTGGATGCCTTTCTGCTTACGGCTCCTGAAGTTAACAGCACACAAAGAAAAGATGTGTTTACTTATATCGGAGTAGCAATATAGACACAAACATACCAAAATCGACCTTGAGTCTTTTTGCTGCGTTGTCTGTTTGTTGCGGTGGCATTCCTCGCTTAACTAATTTTTGATCTGTTAAAAGAAAACAAATGTCAAGTGTAGTTTCAGCCAGCTGAGTGACTCTAAAGCATGGTAAAGAACATTTACATATTGCGTGACATTACCTCTGTTATTGTTATTGGTCTGTACAGGTACAGCGAAGGTCTGGGGATGTTGTGAGTTGGAGAGGTTGAGTTGCAGTGGAGTAGCTTGCGTTGAGTACACAGTGGGGCTTCGGACGTTAGCCAGCGTCACTATGTTGTTGCTGATTTGTTGCACCTGAGGTCTGTGGACAGCAGCAGGTATTACTGTCCCTGGAGCGACCTGCTGAAAGAGCTGCTGCTGACCAGCTGAAAGATAGTAAAAAAAAATTTAAAAAAAAGAGGCTTGGCTTGGCCCTGGAAAAAGCTTTTCTTTTACACTAACTCAAAGAGGAAGATTTCCTCCTCTGAGGCATGTTATACACAGCTTTACCTGAAACGAATGTAAATGAAGTCCCAGGAGGATACTGGTTCCCAAGAGAGGCGAGAAAATCTCTGTTTGCCAAATTTGGAGATGCGACAATAAAGCCCTGAAGACAAGAAAAGAATCCACTCAAACCAGGTATTTATTCCTAAATAATGCACGTTATAAAAAAAAGAAAAGAAACACCAATCGTACCTGGTTGTTGACAATAACAGGCTGGGGAGTCACTGTCGTCACATTTGGTGCTGCTGTGTTCACTGCATTTCCAGCCACATTCAAAGGCAGCATTATGGGTGAGGAGCCTACAGCCGGCTGAGGAGCAGGACGCTTTGTTTCGGGTTTCACAGCATTGCTTCTCTGAGGAGGTGGAGGGTTAGGCTTACCCTCCTTTTGGTTATTAGCTGTGAGAAGATATGAAAGGGGGGGAAATCAAGCTACCTTTAACAAAGACAATCTGCAATATGCTACCAGACAAGACATCATTAAAATAAAACCTGCACAATTTATCTCTTCAATTAATACTACTTTAAGACATTTTTAAGCATGTGCTAAAACAGAGTGATTGTGTATGACCATGGAAGAAGCTGTAAGTCAGCTGTAAGAGTAACATCGGGGTGAATACTGGGATTCAGGTAGACAAATCTGAAAGGACACTAAAGTAGGTTCAAATAAAAGTCATTTAATAAGAAATATTAAAGAGCAAAGAAGGAGTCATACGAGTCATGTCTTTCTTTGATTGTGCAGGGATTTTGTAGCTTTAACATCATTTTAAAAAAAGGTGATTATTGAATAAAGATAAAAATGTGCAAGGACATACAAAGCACTCCAACAAAGATGGGTTCATCATCGTCGTCATCATCATCCTCTATCAATTGGACATCAGGGACTTGTTTCTGCCAAGGCTCCAGCTCCTCCTCCACACACTCCATAAACAGTTCAGACATTATTAACCTGTGAAAGAAAAAAAAATCCTTAAGCATTCTTACATAATAGTCCTACATATTAGATGTTTTTTTTTAGTGACAAGACAATAAAGCTGGAATGCTGACTAATTTTCAGCAATGTAATTAGTAAAACTTGGGCTTCCCCTTCCCCCCGACAGAATATAATGCCCGATGTAAAAAAAGGAAGAGACCTAAACATTGTAAATCTGGATTGACAGTTTTGCTGAAAACATGAGCCACTGATCCCATACCGTCTTTTAAATGCACACAGAAACCAGGTTACGGGGAAATCACTTGTGTGAGAATGTATTTATGCACCGACATTGATCAAGTGACTATCGATATCGGCTACCTTTACCGCAGATATGTACCGATAGTACAAGACTTATTCACAAGTCAGAGTTGTATTACTCTGGCAGTTCTCTTCCACCAGCAGAGTGTGATATATGAACTACAACCAGCATGATCCCTCTCCAGCGTGTCAAGCGCTAATGCACGTACATGTACAGTTACTTTCCAGTTGAGTGACCATCTTGTCTTCATTATGTATCTTTTCCACAAGTGTTTGATAACTGCATTTGAGGGATCAAACAATAAATATGTATCACTATATTTATATCTATCTACAGATTGGAATCTGATATTTTTCTTTCCCTAATATCGATATTGGTATTGGACCAGAAAATCCAATATCTGTCGGGCCCTGATGCAAACAGCTGAATCTTTCACACAGACTTCATCCTGTTTGCTCTGCCAGCCCCATAGCATTTTTTGACAGAAAGTCAGAGGAAGTTGATGTGAGAACGCAGCAGAATAAAATCAGGAGAATTCATCTCAAGCCGGCTGGGCGGAGTGGTGACGTTTATTCAATGCAATCGGTGCAACAGATCACACGTTGTGATGTCTGTGCACATAATAAAACGGCTCTTTCTGTTCGCCAGTTTGATCTTCTCTGTTCTTTTGTTGTTAGACTTCATTGTCCCCATGGGGAAATTCCTTTTCACAGCGTTTTTCACAGTGTTTAGAACAAACAATGTCTGACAACAATCAAAAGTTCCCCTTCTGGCCCGTTCAGCGAGGCATTAAGTTCAGGCCAGCTGTAACAGCAGAGATCAGGCTCTTGTTAATCATAATTAACGTTGATGTCAAGGCATCGATGTAAAAGAGGATAAAAGGCCGAGATGAGTCAGCTGTTAGCAAGCAAGATGACATCCAGTCTTTCCCGCAGCGCTTTAAGCTAGGTTGCCACCTTAACAACACATGCCCTCTGCCTAAAGTACTGTTGTAGAATTTTTCTTATTAAATTTCCTACATCTTTGTATGGGATCCAACAGCAGCTCAAGCAGCTTCCAATAATCTTACTACGGCCACAGTAGTTTCTCCCACATAGAATTACATACAGGTACTTTACGGGTGAAACTTTCAGAAATACAACAGATGAACCAACGTGCTCCACCTGTTCACTCAAAAAGAGCAGGTCAGGACATTTTCAATAGAGAAAACTTTAAGTATGTAATGTTTCCCTCACTTGTTGCTTGTTCGCCTCTCCTGCATTCAAGAACCTATGTAATTTACCACTTGTTCAAATTTAAATATTGATGACAGCCACTACAAAAAGGGTTAATGAAGGTACTACGCTTAGTTGTTGCAAATGGGACTTCTTAAACTCCAGAGACATTTCCCCATAACATTTTATACAAATGATTATAAAGGTACAGAAATGCTTATGACAGTGTTTCTAACTACATCAGAAATAAAAAGGAGCCATTATTAGAATAAAGTTTTCAACTACCTCCCAAATTGTGGAGCTTTGGATATATCATCAAACATCTTCCCACATAAAGGAACAAGTTTAATCCATTAGTTTTATCATGGGGAATGAGCTGCAGTATTTATTTAATGCTGTTAGTTCATGTTTCAAAGTGAATGCTTTTAGTTTCTTGGCAATTAAATACAAGAAACTAAAAATATTTGAGGACGTAATCCAATTCAAATGTATTTATGAAGCACATATAAATACAATAACAGTTGACCAAGGTGCTCATAAGTAAGGATACACATAACAATACTGTTTTCAGTTTTGTTTCTGTTTAAATTACTGATTTAACAGGGACAGTAACAGGGACAGTAACAGGGACAATAAAAGGGACACAAACAGGGACAGTAACAGGGACACTAACGGGGACACTAACGGGGACACAAACGGGGACAATAACGGGGACAGTAACGGGGACACTAACGGGGACAGTAACGGGGACACTAACAGGGACACTAACGGGGACACTAACAGGGACACTAACAGGGACAGTAACAGGGACACTAACAGGGACAGTAACGGGGACACTAACAGGGACACTAACGGGGACACTAACAGGGACACTAACAGGGACAGTAACAGGGACACTAACAGGGACAATAACAGGGACAATAAAAGGGACACTAACAGGGACAGTAACAGGGACACTAACAGGGACAATAAAAGGGACACTGACAGGGACACTGACAGGGACAATGACAGGGACAGTAACAGGGACACTAACAGGGACAATAACAGGGACAATAACAGGGACACTAACAGGGACAGTAACAGGGACACTAACAGGGACACTGACAGGGACACTGACAGGGACACTGACAGGGACAGTAAAAGGGACACTAACAGGGACAGTAACAGGGACACTAACAGGGACAGTAACAGGGACACTAACAGGGACAGTAACAGGGACACTGACAGGGACAGTAACAGGGACACTAACAGGGACAGTAAAAGGGACACTAACAGGGACAGTAACAGGGACACTGACAGGGACAGTAACAGGGACACTAACAGGGACAGTAAAAGGGACACTAACAGGGACAGTAACAGGGACACTAACAGGGACAGTAACAGGGACACTGACAGGGACACTAACAGGGACAGTAAAAGGGACACTAACGGGGACAGTAACGGGGACACTAACAGGGACAGTAACAGGGACAGTAACAGGGACACTAACAGGGACACTAACAGGGACACTAACAGGGACAGTAACAGGGACACTAACAGGGACAATAACAGGGACAATAAAAGGGACACTAACAGGGACAGTAACAGGGACACTAACAGGGACACTAACAGGGACAATAAAAGGGACAGGGACAATGACAGGGACAGTAACAGGGACACAAACAGGGACAATAACAGGGACAATAACAGGGACAATAACAGGGACACTAACAGGGACAGTAAAAGGGACACTAACAGGGACAGTAACAGGGACAGTAACAGGGACACTGACAGGGACAGTAACAGGGACACTGACAGGGACAGTAACAGGGACACTAACAGGGACAGTAACAGGGACACTAACAGGGACAGTAACAGGGACAGTAACAGGGACACTGACAGGGACAGTAACAGGGACACTGACAGGGACAGTAACAGGGACACTAACAGGGACAGTAAAAGGGACACTAACAGGGACAGTGACACTGACAGGGACAGTAACAGGGACACTAACAGGGACAGTAAAAGGGACAGTAACAGGGACAGTAACAGGGACAGTAAAAGGGACACTAACAGGGACAGTAACAGGGACACTGACAGGGACAGTAACAGGGACACTAACAGGGACACTAACAGGGACAATGGGCAGTCATGACTATTAGAGTTAACAAGATAGTTCCCCTTTAGTTTGAAGCTGGCTTACTTTTTCACCCTACAAATAAACCATGTATGTCTTTAAGATTAAAATGTATGTTTTTTTTAAAGATTAATTGTATTTGTTTATTTCTCAAGGACACATGCAAAGAACATGTCTTCATGTGTAAAATACAAAGTAGTCGTCATGCATACAGGATTCCAGTCGTGGTTAATTTACAACCCATGTCCCTGACTAGTCTTTAAGGATTAAAACAGAATAAGACTCCCAAGAAACTCAGAAATATTGAGTTACAAGCATCTATGTTATTACCTTCTCGATCCTATTCAACACAGTTAGCTAATGCTAACGAGCTAACGATTTAGATTTCCAATTCTCCTGCGTTTACTGTTGTTGTCGTCTGCTGTCTTAAACTATGAACAAAATCATATCCACGAGTCATACCTGAATGTTATGTCACACATGCACTGTTCGGCACATTTGAGTATTCATTGTTAACAGCAGCATAACACTGGCTAGGCTACGTTAGCATCTTCTCAGACACAGGGAGGTGAGTGATGGGACAAAGACTCATGAGTAAGGTGCGCCTCGTCTCAGCCTACCTCTCTCAAACACAGCCTTCCAGATCCAGGGCACAATTATGTTAGGTAGATACTTCAGCAGGGACCTTAACCCGGGGACGACAAGAGTTCAGCTAGCCCCAGTGTTGCTCACAGGAGGGGAGGAGGGGGGGGAAACAGTATCGCGGTGGGGCAGACATTGGGACTGGCTGCACCAATCACACCGCCCGACGAAAACGTGCCTTCCTGCCATTTTTTTTTTTTACTTCCTGGTATCTCCCGCGACTTTGCCTGTGTGGCCCATATGGCCTGTGGATACTGCAAAAAAAATAAAAAAAATTCAAGCAAGCCAATTGTTGTTGGTGGAAGTGAAGTTGTCCAGTACTGTCATGTGAAATACATGGAGTAGATTATGTACTTTTGGCTTAACATGATTTAGTCTCATCTGGTTTCTATAACAACACAGAAGACTGTCCAGTTTCTCTAGCAGAGTCACAGCATTTCAGTTCAGTGGTGGCCATCTTGATTGTTTATTTTCACCCAAGTATTTTATGTAATCAGGAAACCCTTGAGATTAAAAAAATATGTACATGTGCATCCAATACACTTATTTTTTGCAGTTCCCTTATGAAGTCGGCCACATGATACGAGACAGCATAACATAGTCTGACTTATAACCGGTCACCTGGAATCTGATTCACCTGCTGATAGTCAAAGCAGCACTTGTTTTACGTTATCTTGCACGTTGGGCCAACATGCTATTTGATTTGATCTAGTTTGATAAATTCCCCAAAACTTAACTAGCACTAATAGACACTAAGAAAACATTACGCACACAATCAATATAAGTTAGTCAGTGACAGACAATATCTGTAGGCTTACCTTTAGAGGGCCTATAAAAATGGATGTCATCTCATTTGTGAGTATTTTTTCAGTTTTGGTCCTTTATGGTTACACTATTGGTTGTGGGTGATGGTTTAAGAAGAGGTAAATGAGTGATCAGGACCTGGAGCTGTTAAACCTACCATAATAAAACCGCCATGGCTCAGTTAGGCCCACACAAAAAAACCCAGTCCTAATCACTTCATAAGAAGACCTCAAAAAGAATTTCTGATTCAACACAACTTGTGCCCTCAAAATGTGTACACACTTTAGTCAAACTACAACACATTCCCTGCAATAGAATAGCACCGCAATGAAACACCTATAAAAGATTTTTTCTTTAGAACTTGTTTGTTTACTTATTTGTACCTTTATGGAAAATAACTGACTGGTAAGAACTTGTACTAGGCTAATTATAATAACTTGTTAAGTTATCAATAATAGGCTACCTATTATTTATATGATAAATGAGCTAGTTCATGCAGGTTTGGTAAAAAATGTAGAGGAAAAGGATAAGTCTGTGAGCTGCAGTTTGTTAGACTATATTGCATTTACAATCTATACTAAAGATGTTGCCGCTATGCATTCTGGGAAACCTAGTTGTGAGGGATTTTTATGGGTCAAAATAAAGTCAAGAACATGCAGAAATGATGATGAATGTGACATGATGAAATAAATAAGTCTCATCAGCTAAACTTCCAGAGATCTAACCTGGAGGGCCCTGGCTCAGGCTGATATTCAGGAGCTGCAGGGGAGTTGGGTGGTGTCTCTGACTGAAACAAAGTACTGGCTCTGTTTCTGGCTCTGACTTGACTTTTTGCCTCTCTCCATTTCTTTCTTTTTGCCCTCTTCTCGTGCTCACTGAGCTCATTGACATCCTTCTTCTTTCCAGTCTCTCTGTCTTTTTTCCATTTGTCCCTCTCTTTCTCAAGGTACTTTCTTCTTCTGTCCGGGTCAGCGTCACGACGTTCCCGATATCTCCTTGCTATCTCAGCTCCTTTTGAGCTCATTCCTTGAAAAAGACAATTCAAAATGTTCCCTTACACACTTTAATTGGCGGACCAGGTAAACTAGGCTTGCCTTATCAAACTAGGCTTGCTGATACCGATATCACCAAAAAAGTCCACATTGTCCACTCTTACTATGTATAACATGGACTGTTATAAAATGTGTGTAATAGCTGTTGTAATATGTGTGACATTATCAGCATGTGGCATAAACCATGAGCATGTCCTTCCTGTCACCAACCATGTCCACCCTGTCATAGGCTTGCTGACAGGGTGGATAATGACAGGTTGGACATTTTTAACTAATGTTAGCATTTAATGAGCATGGTGGACCTTCAGTTAGCAACATGATTCAGTTAGCAAGGTGACTGTGTACTATTTAACAAATATATTTCGAATTTCTGAAAGGTTTTTATATTCGTTGATATTTCAGTATGACAGAGTGGACATGTTTAGCTTGACAACATCCAACTACACACGCAATATGATGAAAATTACTGAATACAAGAGTAAATACTTACTCTGCAACTAGCCACTTTTTCAGCCTCCACTGAAGAAAGACAAAATGGTGATAGTAATGTCACTTAAAACATCAGAGGGTTTCTTAAAGGGGCAGTTACCCCATAATGACAGGGTGGACAGCAATTTCAGGGACACATTCAAAATGTTCAATATGATTATGAAAATAGAATATACATGATCAAAATGACTCATTTTTATCAAATTACTTGTTGTGGGCAATAAAACCATGTAAACATTTTTTGATTTAGTATTATTTACACACTTATTACACACACTGTGGTTAGCAGAGCAGTGTGTGGGACATGCAATCCAATGAAAAAAAAAATGGTATAAAAATGAAGGAAACACATTTCAAGAGACTTATCATTGAACTGATATGTGTGTAAATGTTTGGCCATTTATAATAAGACCTCAGAGTTTCATTATTCTGCTTCATTTTCATGATGACTGAGTGAGTCTGATGAGGACACCATGGCACTTCTTAGTTACACACATAGGTAAAGCAAACATGAGTGCACAAACTGTGGTCACATGATGAATACTGACTCATCTTGATGACAGCTGACCTCCGTGCAACAGTCAGCTTTGAACTTCTTGACAAATTTCATGCTCTCCGGTCAGAGTTAAACCATGCTTAAAATTAAAATGCATCAAATTGTCTTTTTGTATTTGATTAAAAAATGAGTTTTCCTGCTTTTAATGACAGCAACATTTATAGCCTGTTCAAACAAGTAACAAGTAATTGAGTTTGAGAATTTCCTCTACAAGAGCATCTTGGCTAAATAAATAAAGTAAGGATTACATTATCATTAGATTAAATAAACAGACTAAGCTAATTAAACAACAGACTCAGCTCGTTATTATGCATTTTACTGACATTTGATCTTCTCAACCCATATGAGAGACCAAGATAAGATAAGATAAAACTTTATTGATCCCTCATTAGGGGACATTTTGCTTGAATTACTTGTTTAATTGTTTTTTTGAGTCAAGTTTTTTTGCACACTTTTTGATCATGGGGAAAGTATTTCCCATTTTTATAACCAATTTATTTACATGCATGTCCAAGGAAAGTCTATTGCCTATGATAACTCCCAAAACTTTGACATTTTCTACTTTCAGTTGTTGTTGTCATCCATTCAATGTATGCAACCGGAAAGTTGAAGAAGGCTACAGGTAAAGGAATTCTTAGTAAAATGCTTTTTATTCTAACTCATTAAATAAACTTAACTGTGTAACATAGACTGCTTCATTCTAGAGAAATAGTTAATGTGTTGAAAGTAGGACATTGTTGAAACAGTTTAACCTGCATCCATCCTGACTAATTCCCATTGAAAGAGCAGATTAAGAAAATGTATACGGCCAGTAATAACAGTGTTTATAACAGTTTTCTGAAACTCTGAAGGAGCTTGATCAAGGGGAAAGTTTGAAGGATTATACTAATTTGTATGAATAACTTACAAATAAGCATTTGGTCATGTTGCTGCTTTTGAATTGTATTGTGAGAGGTCTCCCACTCAACTGAAGATAATTGTTGTTTTTACCTCGGTAACAACCACTGAACAGGGACTGAATTTGATAAAACTTTAGACATTGCCCACCTATAGGATTAAAAAAACATCAAGCAGTTGCCTACCTTGCTTGTTGCCAAGCAGCACCTCTGCGTACATGGGGTGCAACCTAACCACTAGGCCATCTGCGCCCCTTTGCAGCCTTTAGAGAGGTCCAAAACGTTCCTTATGAGTATGTTTTTCTACACATATATCCCATGTACATTTTTTGTTTTTTAAATGCTATGACATAGCTATGAAAAACTATTCATGGTAAATTCTTAATAGGCTTTTTGTTCATTTAAAAAAAATGTAATGACCATGACATAATGAGAAATGAAAAATTAAGTTATTGTCAAGCAAAAATGTTCATCTTAGGTTTTTTTTATGGTGAAGGATATCTGGTGAAGTTTGTGAGATCCGAGTTTGTCCAACAGGTGGCAGTCTGGAATTATTAATACAAGGAAGTGGCGTCGACCCTTGAACCATGTGTCAGAACCTATATGGGATAACCTATGTTAGAAGACAAATTATTCTTTCATGCATGATTATTGGGTTGTGACATTGAAATTCATCATTTGTGTTGTCAAAGAGAGTACAGCATTAAATTACATTGGGTTGCAGTACATGGAAATCCCACCTGGATCTCCTCTAAGCTCCACGCTGTTTAAACTGTGTAAATCTGCATTTAGCTTGGACTATCTAATCCCTCATAATAAAAATGTAAAATCCAGAAATAGAAACACTGTATTTGATTTTAAGAATGGGGGATATATGTATAAGATTATTCTCAACAAAACATCAGACCCACAGGATTTTCTAAAATAAATTCATGGGTGCTGGTTCTACCCAGCTCTTGATACTCTCTGTGGAAGTTAGTACATGATATGTTTTCAATTGAATGCCTGAACAGTGAACAATGTCTTCGTGCTTCAGGGACAGAGTTTCCTCTAGCATCTCCAGGTGTACACATCTCACATCTGGATTACATGGGAGGGGCAACTACCAGTGATGCAGCAGGAGCCCCCCTGTTTTTCAGACTGCTTACACATGGTTTTTGGTCTGGGGTTTATTCTTCACTTCTATTTATTAACATACAGAATTAGACTTAAATTATATTAATGCATGTTCAGTTATTTGACCTGCACCAGCAGACATATCTAAATTTTAAAAAAAAGACCTATATGGGTTGGATTAAGGTCAATATCAAAGCAGACCAGCTTTTTTTTAAAGCTTAAAATAACTATAGGGGGAAAATAACATAGTTTTGTGTTGTG